AAGCAGTCTTCATTTTCCACAGTAGTAAATTTTCTAGATTCGTCTTGTAGACCTCAAAGTACTGGAAAGAAAGCTCCCATTCAAAGGCAGTTTATCTTAAGATACTGTAAATGATACTAATTTTTTTGTCCATTTGAAATATATAAGTTGTGCTATAACAAATCATCCTGTCAAGTGTAACCACTGTCCACATAGTTGAACTTCTGGGATCAAGAAAGTTATATTTAAATTGATTCCCATCCTAACCGGTGGGGCACATGTAACTCAACTGTGAAAAGACACATCACACAATCACCGTGCTGCTGATTCCATGGCCTGGGGTCTCTGCCTTCTCCCCCTCCCCTCCCCCTCCCTGCAACAGCCCTCCAGCTAGGGGTGGCTTCTTGGAGTAGACGTGAGGTTCCAGGTCACAGCCTGGGGGGACACTGCTGATGTGCGGGGTGCTCTGTCCGCACCCCTGGTCTCTCTGAGTCTTAAGTGACGCCCCCCTTCCAAGCCATCAATCCTCCTCCCCCACCCTCCACTGCCGCCCGTGGCCGAGGCATAGATTGTAGCCCTCTGCTCCCCTCTGAGATCGGCCTTTGGTGAGGACTTCAGGGCTTCCCCGTATCTTCTCCCCCCACCGTAATCGAGGGGTGCTGCCTTTTCCTTCCTCCTCCTCAATCCCTTTCTGCACCGCCACCCAGCACTTCCGTGACGCTTCCTTGCTTTGGCCAGAAGCCATCAGGTAAGGTTGGAAAGTCTCTGACCTCCCATCATTTAGTCTTGGAACCACAGTTTATTTACTCTCACCAGCCTGGGAAATGAATATTGGGTTCTCAGCCTTGCCACCCTCTGCTGTCCCCATCAGCTGATGCGTTTCTTTAGCTCAGGTTTCAATAAGGTGAAAAGAACAGTCACCGGGGTTGCTCAGACCTGCAGCTCGCGACCTCCTTGGTGGTTAAACTTGGAGAAAGGCCGCAGAAGACGCTTGTAAGCACACACAATCCCTCTGAATGAATCGTTTTCTTTTCCTGTAAAGGCTTTGGCTTTTTAAAATCGAAGAAGCTTTAAACAGGGCTCTCATTGGGTCATCCTTTCGGTCCATTCGGGTCTAGTTTGGAAGCTGACGACTGGAACAGAAAGAACCTTGAACTCGGTGCCTACTTTGGTCTCGGTGCTGCTGCTTCTCCCCGTCCTCAGCAGGGATTATGAAAGAACTTGGTGTGCACGGCAGATCCCCGAAATTCCTGGCGAACCGCTGCGCTTTTCCACTTTTCTGTTCAGGACCACTAAATGCTGAGATGTGGATGCATACCGAAATAAAATCAATTCGTTGTGTTCCAAGGGTTTTTTTTTTTTTTTGTTTTTTTTTTTAAGTGTCTGTGTAAAACCACCTTTTGAAGCAGCAGCTGTCAAGTCTGAAAAGCAATTGGTGTTTCCATTAATCTTTTTCTGGGGGAAACCTTAGTTCTAAGGGTTTAACATCCTGTAAGTAAAGTTTAACATAACAGTATTCTATAAGCAGCCTTTTTATTGTCAGACCATTGCCTGATTTTAATATAATAAAAAGAAGTGTGCGTTAATATTTAAGAAGTTTAATGTCTTAGATGCTTTGGTATTCAATTTGACTTCTAAAAGCAGGGGTTGGGGAACTTTTTCTACAGTGGGTCCAAGTTGGTAAACATTTAGGCTTTCATTTTTCCTCTTGGCTTGTGAGATCTTCGATTGCACCCAGGCCCTCAGCAGTGAGAGCAGAGTCCTAACCACTCGACAGCCAGAGAATTCCCAACTATTTAAGCTTTATTGGCCAAGAGGCAAAAGCAAAGAAATTATGTGTTGAGTTTATTGAACGAGAAAACAAAATTTCCACAATTTCTGGATGAAATTGAAAACATCATCGAGTACAGTTCTTTGTAATGTTAACAGATACACTGAGAAGGAATGGAATGCTTTATTAGGGGATAACATGTACTTGGGATTCAAACTTAATATTCCCTGTTACCAGATCAATTGCAGATGCTCCTCTGTATAGAGCGTTCCTCTTTTGAGGGGCCAAACAGAACTGGGCAGTGGACCGGATCTGGCCCATGGACCATAGTTTGCCAACCCCTGTCTTAAAAAACAAGCAAAAGAGGGGTGGGATTTAACTTTAGAATTAAAATGTTGCTGTGTGACACTCAAGCTATTAAGTCTCCCCTAGTAACAGTTACTAGTACTTAGTAGCTGGATTTAGTTGTCTGTTGGCTGGAAAAGAAGAACCCAATATTCCCATGTGTTTCTAGCATTTGAAACAAGAATTCTGCGCGGATGGACAGTGTGTCTGCCGTCTACTGTGTGAGGTGTGAGGGGTGAGGACGTGTCCCTGGCCATCTTGACTCAGAATTTGCACTCCCTGCTGTGGTCCCGGCCACCAGCAGGCACCACCCGGGTGTCTGTGCCAGGAGCCCGGTCGTTGTTGGGGCCAGAGCAGACGTCACAGTCTGACTGCTTGGAGTGAGTCGGGTTCGCAGCAGGCCACCTTCCAGAAAAGGCTGCCAGACTTTCTGCTGAAGGTCCTCATGGGCCCGTCCTCTGGAGCGAGCTGCTGCCCCAAGCTCCCCTGAGAGGGGGCCGGGCCAGGGACGTCTGTGGACTCCTCACCCTCAGTCAGCTCCCAAGGGGGAGAGCAGGGGGGCTTCTAAAACTGCTTCAGAACGCTGCTGGGACACCCCGAAGCAGATTCAGGGCCACGTCTGTAAGTGCGGTGACCTCCAGGCAGGGAAGCGGAGACTCCGCACCTGGTACCTTGGTGGCTGCGGGGAACTGGGCCTAGAACCTCGGGACTCGCCTGGGACCTCCTGTGACAGCCGCCAGTCTCTGGTCCGCGGTTCCGTCCCACAGTTGCGATTGGCTCCTGTCTTGACCGGCGCGTTCACAGGTGGTCTCAAGCTTGAGGCCCACACGTAGGGCAGAGGGGAAGCGCTCTTCTGAGGTGCGGAGAGCACTTCTTTGGTGGGGTGGGCCCCGACCCACAGCCTTGTGGGAGGGCAGCGCCCTTGAGCTGCTCCTCTGCTGAGGTGGCTCTGGGGCCCCTGGGTGGGGCTGGGTGGGGGGCACCGGCGCCCAGCTGCGTCCAGCTGTGGAGCAGCGGCAAGGGTGGTGTCGGGTCAGCCCCGGCCCTGCCGAGGGCCCGCCCCTCTGGCTGCCGGCCAGCCAGTCCCTGCTGGCCTCTTGCCCTCCCCACCCCCTCACCCGCATGGCCAAGTGGACCCTCGGTCCTCGGCCCCTCCCTGGCCTGCACCTGCTCCACAGAACCCTGCGAAGGACTCGGTCTTGATGTCAAGGATTCGAGCAGAGAACGTTCTGCGGAAGGGCAGCTTGTGAGAGCATCTCTGCTTTCCATTGAGAGGAGGAAGATGCTAGGGTGGGCTGCATGGGCCGCCCGCGGCTCTGGGCCACGGGGGTGACAACTGAAGGTACCCCCAAAGGCCTCCTCCTGGGGGCGCCATGAAGTCACCTGCTGCCAGCACAGTGGCTGCAGGCAGCCTTGCAAGAGGGGAGGGCTTAGCACGCAGCGCCAGCCTCGCAGGCACTGGAAGGCACTGGCCACGTCTCTGGGGTTCTGGTGCAGGTCTGACGTGCTGGGAATGTGGGCTCAGTGAATGCCAGGTTTTTTTTTTAAGTATAGTTGATTTATAGTATTATATTAATTTTAGGTGTAATCTTTCTGATACAGATTTTTATGCGCGATCTCCCAACATTAGTGTGTCAGACACATTCTTTTCATTCCTGCATAGAACAGGAGCACCATCGCAGCTCACTGGCCGCAGTTGAGGCCTTGGGACGTAAAGCTCCATCACCAGCTGTACCTTCTTCTCCCCAGATTGTCATCTTGGTGGCCTTTGACCCCTGGGAGGCCTGCAGTCCTGGAAGCCTTACCCAGGAGCATGTGATGGGTCCTCAGAGCATGGGCAGGACCCCTGTGGCCCAGGTAGAAGGTGCCGAGTAACAGGGTGGCCGCAGGGTTCCCAGGAAACAGACCCACATTTCATTGAGTCTGAGATCCTGTCCTTTGTGAGATGCACCATTATTTTATGCACTACCAAGAAAAAAATGCTGCCAATTATAAAGGCAGGATGCCACTGATTTAAGGAATGTCCCAGTTCCAAAAATGTTACAATGTTAAAAAGTGAACATTTTAGGTTTGAGGAGAAGTACAGTGTCTTGTCTGCAAGGCATTGACGGTTCAGTGGTAGAACTCTTGCCTCCCACGAGGGAGACGCAAGTTGGATCCCCAGCCAAAGTATGTACTTCAAACTTCCCAGGTGGTGCTAGTGGTAAACAACCCACTTGCCAATGCAGGAGACGTTGGCGACTTGGGTCTGATCCCTGGGTCGGGACGATCGCCTGGAGGAGGGCATGGCATCCCACGCCAGTGTTCTTGCCTGGAGAATCCCACGGACAGAGGAGCCTGGTGGGCTAAGTCCACAGGTCGCAGAGTCGGACACAGCTGAAGCGACTTAGCACAAGAGGCACAGAGTATCTTATCCGTGGTGATAAGCACAGAGGTGGCGGCCAGCCCAGCAGTGAAGGACAGAGACCACATCAGCTCCCTTGCTAAAAAATTAACCTGCCCCTTACACTAGTGATGACAAATCTGGGCTGGAGACCCCATTTTTATTTTCACCAGAGACAGACTATACAGGAACCTAGACAGTGCTTCAAACAGTAACAGGGGACAGCACAGAAGGTGAGGTTCCCTCTGGCTCCTGACCCAGCCCCTCAAGGCGAGGCCGGGAGCACAGCACGACCTTCGGAGGTCAAGCACGCATACGCAAGCCGTGACCCGCTCCCCATCTCCCTCCCTGTGTTTGCTCTACTTTTTTCCCGGTTAGCATAACTGGGCGTGTGGCCTCCACCCCGCTCTTCCCCCAGACACGTCTTTCACCAGCAGGGCCTTTCAAGGCCCCTGGACAGCTGCTGAGCGCCCAGTACACCGCGTGCCACCCCGGGACCAGGGCCTCACTGGAGACCTGAGGTCATCCCCGACGTTCGCCCGGCCCAGCAGCCTCAGCGCAGCAGTGAGCACGCCCCGCCGAGGGGATGCCCAGGACCAGACTTCTCCGGCCAAGGACTGGGGCAGTTTTAATCCTGTCATTTTCAAACTGCCTCCAAACAAAAGTTCCAAACTCGCCTTCCCACCAACAGCGCAAGATGGTTCCTTCCATTCTCTTCCCTCTATCTGCGCTCAGACATCCTTGCCCGCCCATCCTTGAGCTGAATCGTGCTATTTCATGGCTTCTGGTCCATTTCCTCATGTGTGACGCTGAGTACCTTTTCTCAAGCTGAGAGGCCCTTTTATCCCTCTGAATTACGTCATCTTTGTTCCTTTTCCCTCCCGATTTGTGAGAGTGCCTCACACACAGGCATCCTCGCCATCTGAGACAGTCATCTAAAGCATAAACAGATGGCTCTTGTGTGGCTCGGCAGCGGGGGCAGCCGATCAATGGGTGGCCGTCCTCATCAGCCACCGCGGGCCCTTGTGATGCAAGGAGCTCGGATCAGAAACCCTTCCCGGTGGTCTGCAGGGCATGTTTGCCATCCCTCCTTGAGGCCTGTCAGCCTCAGGGTCGAGTGGGATGGAAGACAGGCAGGTGGCCGGCCCGGTGGCTTACGGACACCGCACGGGGCCGGGTTGGGTGTCGCCAGCCTGCATTCCGTGCTCTGACCCACCGCGCCCAGGAGCTTCAAGACGCGTATACTGTGCGCCAGCCCGCCGGCGCACCAGGTTGGCACTTCAGAAACCTCTTGCTTCCCCAAGCCAGTTCTCATGTCCCCACCTTCCGGCCCCAAGTGCCACCTCCCTGGGCTCTCCGCCCATCACCCCCAGGCGAAACGCGGCCACCTCACGCCTGTCTGGTGCCCCGGCCTCGGACTCGCTTCGTCATCTCCATGGGGCAGGCTCCCACCACAAGCAGCATGGGAACGCGCCCCGGAGAGAGCCCGGGCCCCTCTAGATCAGCCACTCCGGGCTGGCTGTCCTCATTAGCCGATGCTGTTCTGTTCCTGGCAAGTATTCACACCTAACGAGCTGACTTACTGGGTTACTGACTCCTCCTTCCCTCTCTGGAAACGCATCATGCAGGTGGGTGCTCACCTGGCTCATCCCCATCCCTGCCTCCAGCGCCGAAAGCGGTCCCCGGGACACCCTGAGGTTTCCGCGAGCTCAGGAAGCCTTCTCCAGAGTGGAGCCTCGCCTTCCTCTCCAGGCCCAGGGCAGTGATGAGGGCCGGGTTCCGGCGGCTCCGAGGGCCGGGTTCCGGCGGCTCCGCTGAGAACGTGAGGGCCTGTGGGCTAACTGGGCCTGCGAACAGGGGGACCGGCCCAGTGAGGAGTTTGCCGACTCCAGGTAAAGCTGGTGAAGACACGGTGGGTGAGCAGAGGAGAGGCCCGCGTGTCAGCTCTCTCTCCCCGATCTCAGCACACAGCACACAACCAGTCCACCTCTGGCTGTGTGGCTCTGGGCAGAGCCCTTGGCCTCTCTATATCCTCCTCACGGGACCGTGCTAAGCATTACGTAACGTTTTACGTGCCCTGAGAAGTTCACGGTCCTCAGCACACGACAAGCCCTTTAGGCCACTGTGAAATCACCCTGTTGCCCCAGAGACAAACTCTGCGGGTCTGCAGGCCCCAGGGCTCCAGGCTGGGGCTCGGGGCCGCGCCCCGCTCTGGGCCAGCAGAGGGCGCTCGCGAGCTGCAGGCGGCCGCCTGGAGGGCGGGGCAGGAAGGACCACTTCTCAGCGGCCTCGCAGGCATCTGGGCGCGTGCATTTGGCGCGCATCCACCCCCAGCCCCACACCTGGAGGACCACACCTGCGCTACCAGCCCACTGTTACTGAGGACGAACCTAGGAACCAGAAGGCGTGCCCAAGGTCGCCCAGCCCGGGTGTTCGCGGTGGGGTCCTGCAGCGATGCCAAGGCGGCCTCTGGCTTCAGGGGTCACAAACTCAAAGGCTTCAAGGGACTGATGTTACAAGCTGGGAAACTGACCTCTTGCCTTTGGAATGAGAGCTCAGGATGGCCGTCTTTTCGTCTTTTGAGAAAGAAGCCAGACATCAAGATTTAGTAAAATATCTCAGCTTTCATGGTGTCAATGGATTAAAGGCTTGTAACATTTTAATCACCTTACCACCTCTGAGCTACCTTTCAACCCTCCCTTGGAGAAAGGCATTTGGAGACAAAACCGTGTTTCCTCCTGTCTTCAGCAGCCCACCCTCTCCCCCTCCCTCAGGCCTCAGATTACAGGTCACCCCTCCCCCTGGGTTAGGAGCCAGACCCCATCCCTGCTTTCACTCATTAGGTTGTGCATCCATTTGTTCAAACATTGATTGAGCTCGTTCTCCATACGGGAGTCACAGCATAGGACGAAGCAGACTAAAATCCGCCGCCTTTGGAGCTGAGGGTGGAATCGAGACGAAACAGACGGCGTGAATTTACAAAGTCGTTTCAAAGTGTTAAGCACATACCTGAAACACCCCAGCAAGAGAACAAGATGGGAAGGCCACCCTGGGCAGCGAGGGCCTTTCTGCGGAGGTAACTTCTTCAAGTGTGTGGAAGAAGCTCCATGCCCCGAACTCGGCAGGGAGGACAGTTCTGAGTGAAGAGAAGCACAGAGCAAGGGCCCTGGGGTGGGAAGAGGCATGTCACGTGGTCAGGGAAGCGTTCTCGTGCCTGGCACACAGCAGGCACTCTGCGATGGATCAGTGGGCACACGGGTGTGCCGCACCACGCCCCGCGCTGGGCACCGGGGAGGCAACGCTTGATGAGTGGGTGGATGAACAGACCCAGGATTTGCCCGAATCCAGCTCCTTCTGCTCTGGTTTCGGCGTCTCCCGCACTCCGGCCTCACACTCAGCCTGGCTGGGAATCGTCCAGGCCCGTCTCTGGCTGCAGAGACCCTGTGCAGTCCCAGGTGTCCTTCCCCAATCTGGCTTGGGCCCCCTTTTCTGCGGCCTACAAACTGTCCAGAGTCCACGTGGCTTGTCCGGGAGTGGGGGGTGGGGAGGGAAATGAGCTGGTATCTGACTTCCCTGGCTCGAGTTTTGGCAGGAGGTTCCGGGAACATCAGGCCTGTCCCCAGAGGAAGACAGTGATGTGGGGGCTAGAGAAGCCCCCACCCACCTTTGCCCTGGGCTGGGTTCCAGCCTAGATGAAATGCGGTCTTTCGGCCATCCAGTCATGAGCAGCACACAGAGAATGGACATCTGTCTGTCTGTCTGTCTGACTTGCTCATTTGACAGCTACGTGAAGGTCTTCGAAGGTCTCCTCTGTGTCAGGCACAGGGAATGCAGAAATGGACCGAAAAGTCTCTGCTGTCATTCCAGCTATGGGAGACAGAGAGTAAAGAAATGATGAATCAACAAGATGGTCTCACAAGTGCATCAGGGCAATGAGAACAGGACTGTGAGGGAATCCCCCGGTGGGCCAGCGGTTGAGAACCCACCTGCAATGCAGGGGACGAGGGTTGCATCCCTGGTGTGGGAGGAGCCCGCATGCCATGGGGCAGTTAAGCCCGGGCACCAGAGCTGGGGCTCCGCCACGAGAAAAGCCACCCCAGTGAGCAGCCTGCACCCCGCAACTAGAGAGCAGCCTCTGCTTGCTGCAATTAGAGAAAGCCCGGGCACAGCAGCCAAGACCCAGCACAGCCAAAAATAAATAATTTTTTTAGAAAAAAAAGAACGGCACAGTGAGCTGACGTGGTCAAAAGGAGGAAGGGTGGGAACTGCTTTACATGGGTGGTCAGAGACGACCTCTAAGGAATGACATCTGAGCTGAGTGCCCATTGGAGAAAGAGTGGGTAGCGGGACCAGCAGGTGCAAAGGTCCTGAGGCCGGCGTGAGCTTGGTGGGACCGAGGGGCAGCAAGGAAGTCGGTGCAGCTGGAACCGAGTATGCGAGGGTATTGGTGGTAGGAGTGAGCAGTGGGATGGAGGCAGCCCCCCAGGCCCTTGAGGACTGCTGTGGCAGGAAGAGTGAGCATGCTCCCTCATGAGGTGACGTGAGGGTTAAACGGGACAGTGCAAGAAAGTGGCTGAACCACAATGTGAGCTGTTATTATGCTGTGACTACCAATCACCATCATCGCCCTGGGCCTGGGCCTTGGGACCTTCCCAAGGAAGGCTGTCATCCGTGGCTAGCATAGGGGTCCCCTGTGTTGGCCCCATTGCCCCCACCAGGGCCTGGGGGATGGAATGAACACGACCGGGCACGAGGTGAGGCTCAGCCAGCTCCAGGGGCAGGAGGGGCCTCCCTGAGGGTCACCCCAGCCTAGAGCAGAGGTCTCCCCTCCCGACAGGCTGTACCCTGCCGCCACGCCCCGGCCACGCACAGTCTGGGGGCCTCTGCACCGGCCCAGTCCACACCCTGTCCCCTCGGGCCACCCTGAGCTGATGATTCGACCTTCTGAGCCTCGGGCGGGGCCCACCTACCCAGACTTGCCTCCCTGCCCCCAGGCCGTGGGTTCTTGGGAACGCGATTATTTTTCTTCCCAGATAATTCAGTCCAGAAGACAGGGCCGGCCACTTCCGGCCGCACTGTTCTCACTGTGGCTTCCTGACCCTCTCACTCCACAAACTTGACACTGTGGCCAGAGGCCTGAAGCCAGACCCAGGAGCCCCCACGTCTCCCCCACTCGCCCTGCCCCTGAAAAGCACCCAGCTCTGGGAATCTCAGGACCCTCGGCTACCCCTTGCCCACAAGCCCCCGCTGAGAACACGCCTCCCCAGCTGTGGATTCCAGGGAACGGCGCCTGCGAACCATAGGGCTCCCTGGAGTTCCCAGGTAAGCCAGGGACACGTCAGCATCCTCTCTCCAGGTTCATTCATTCAGCAGGTGTGTAACGAGCACCTGCTGAGTGTGGGGCTTCCCTGGCGGCTCAGCTGGTAAAGAATCTGCCTGCGACGCGGGAGACCTGGGTTCCATCCCTGGGTCGGGTCGGTCCCCTGGAGAAGGGAAAGGCTCCCCACTCCAGTGTTCCGGCCTGGAGAATCCCATGGACTGTATGGTCCCTGGGGTGGCCAAGAGCCGGACACGACCGAGCGATTTGCACTTTTCACACATACCCACCTGCAAATGCAGGAGCCCTAAGAGATGTGAGGCTGAGCCCTGAGCTGGGAAGAGCCCCTGGAGAAGGGAATGGCAACCCCCTCCAGTAGTCTTGTCTGTAAAACCCTATGGATGGAGGAGCCTGGCGGGGTCCGTGGGGTCACAAAGCGTCAGACACGACTGAGCAACTCAGCTCAGCACTGCACCGTGTGCCAGGCACTGCCCTGGGCCCAGAGACCACAGCAGGGAACAAACTAGGCAGAAACACCTGCCCTCAGGAAACTGACCTTCTGCATGCAGTTAAGGTGGAACAATAAACAAGGGAAAATTCAATTATGTAGAATATTGGCTGGTGATAAATTCTATGAAGGACACGAAAGAAGAAGAGGGGGTTGCTGGTGATAGGAGTCAGTCAGGGAAGGCCTGAAATTCAAGAAGGTGCCATTTGAATATAGGCCTGTAAAAGGTACGGAAGTAAGTCTTGTAGGCACCTGGGAGAAGAGTCTTTCTGGTGGAGGAAACAGCCGGTGCAAAGGCCCTGAGGCTGGAGCATGCTTTATTGATTGGAGAAACCGCCAGGAGTCCAGTGTGGCTGGAAGAGAGTGGGTGAGGGGGAGAAGGGGGTGTTTGAACTCCAGGAGAGAAGTCAAGGGGCGCGCAGGACCGCGGCGAGGGTCCCCTTCCCCCGAGGCAGGCAGAAGCCTTGTGGAGGAGGAACGGGCGGGACCCAGGTGTTCACGGAGTCCCTGCAGGCCGCGGGGACAAGGGTGGAACAGGGGGCTGGAGAGGAGATGGAAGCAGACCCCCGGTGGGGAGGTGGCGAGGAGAGGAGGAGAACCCCCCCACCCAGGTGCTCTGCGGAGAGCAAGCGAGAAGCGGGCAGGCACGGACAGCGTGTCACTGATCAGGGGTTATGCGCTTTTTCCCACTGTCCGCCTCTCGAATCTTTTTCCTCCCCTTTTAGATTCACTGAGATGTGGAATGTTCAGACAACGGGGCCCACGGGGCTTGCTCCAGGGGTGGATGTGGGGTTTGGGAGGGGAGGACCCAGGAGGCCCCCAGGCCTGGTCTGAGCCCAGGAAATGGCCTTTTCCTGCCCCTGGGGAAGGCTCAGGAGCAGCCAGGTTGGTGGGGGGCGTCCAGGGGTGGGTGTGAGCGTTAGGCCGTGGTCCGTCCGAGACCCTCAGATGGAGGGATGGAGGAGGCTGGCAGGTCCAGAGATGAGCAGGGAGCCACCTCGGGACAGCCGGGGGTGGGGGGGCCCGGTGGGGGGGCCCTGAAGTGGAGTCTAAGGCCTGCGTCTGAGCTCCCCGGGGCGGGCGGGGGCGGGGGGGGGTGTCAGCATGGACAGACGGAGACGGGGAAGTCTCTGCAGCCCGTCCGCGGCTTTCAAAGCTGGACGAGGTCCCCATCCTGCAGGTGGAGCCCACCTGGGCAAGGACACCCTTTGCCTCTCGGGGGGCACAGCCTCGTGTGAGGCTCAGAGCAGACCCGGGACTGGACCCCGCGTTTCACTCAGCCCCCCGCTGCACGGCCCAGGGGTCTTCTGATGGTAACAAGATAACCCCGAGGCCCAGAGGGCCCAAGGGACTGGCCCCAGATCACGCAGCTCTGAGCCACTCAGTGAGATTGAGCTCCGACCAGCGTGGCCTCAAACCCGTCACACTGCCCTAACTGCCTGCCTCCGGCCCCCCCCCGACAGAGAGGATCGGC